GCAATACTGAAAGATTCTAAGGGCAATATATTGAATGATGCAGGAAACATCAAAAGAAAATGGAAAGAATACACGGTCACTGTACCAAAAAGAACCGGTCGATGCTGATCCATTTCAGGAGGTGGCATATGATCAAGAACCAATGGTACTGAAGGAAGAAGTCGAAGGTGCACTGAAAGAATTGGCAAAAAAACAAGGCTCCAGGAATTGACAAAATACCCATTGAGATGTTTCAACAAATGGATGCCATGCTGGAGGCACTCCCTTGGCTATACCAAGAGATTTGGAAAACAGCTACCCGGCCAAATGACTGGAAGAGATCCATATTTATACCCATTCCAAAGAAAGGTGACCCCATGGATTGTGAAAATTATTGAACAATATCATTAATATCACACACAAGTACAATCTTACTGAAGATAATTAAAAAATGGTTACAGCAGTGTATTAACAGAAGAGGACTTCCAGACATGCAAGCTGGATTCAGAAGAGGACATGGAATGAGGGATATCATTGCTGATGTCAGATGGATCCTGGCTGAAAGCAAAGAATACCAGAAAGATGTTTACTTGTGCTTTATTGACTATGCAAAAGCATTCCATTATGTGGATCATAACAAATAATGGATAGCATTGAATGTGAATTCCAGAACACTTAATTATGCTCAGGAGGAACCTGTACATAGACCAGAAGGCTGTTGGAACAGAACAAGGGGATACTGCATGGTTTAAAATCAGGAAGGAAGTGCATCAAGGTTGTAACCTTTCATCATACTTGTTTAATCTGTATGGTGAGCAAGTAATATGAGAAGCTAGACTATAGGAAAAAGAACACAGCATCAGGATTGGAGGAAGACTTATTAACAACCTACAATACACAGATGACACAACTTTGCTTTGCTGAAAGTGAGGATGACTTTGAAGCACTTACTGATGAAGATTAAAGAATTCAGTCTGCAGTATGGATTACACCTAATATAAAGAAAAACAAAAATCCTCACAACTGGACGAATACGCAGCATGACGATAAATGGAGAAAAGATTGAAGCTGTCAAAGACTTCATATTACTTGGCTCAACAATCAACACCAATGGAAGCAGCAGTCAAGACATAGAGGATGTATTACTGCACTGGGGAAATCTGCTGCAAAAGATCTCTTTCAAATGATGAAGAGCAAAGATGTCTTCTTGAAAACTAAGGCGCGGCTAACCCAAGCCATGGTGTTTTCAGTTGCTTCATATGCACGTGAGAGCTGGACAATGAATAAGGAAGACTAAAGAAGAGTTGATGCTTTTGAGTTGTGGTGTTGGAAAGAATACCATGTACCATGGTACCATGGAGTGCTAAAAGAACTAACAAATTTGTTCTGAAAGAAGTGCAGCCAGAATGCTTCTTGGACACGAGAACGCCCAGACATCATCTCACCTACTTTGGTCATGTTGTCCAGAAGGGACCATCCCTGGAGAGGGATATGATGCTTTGGAAAGTGGAGGGTCAATGAAAAAGCAGAAGGCCCTCAATGAGATGGATTTACACAATAGCTACAATGATGAGCTCAGGTCTAGCAAGGACAGTGAGGCTGGCACAGGACTGGGCAGAGTTTCCATCTGTTGTGTATAAGGTCACTACGAGTCAGAGGCTACTCGATGGCACCGAACAACTACAACAACAGGGTGAAAGGGAGAGTTTTAGCTTTTGGGGCATTGAGTTTATGTTAATAGTGATTTAGAGAAAGATAGAATAATTGCACAACTTGGAGAATGTGATCAACGTCACTGAATTACACATGCAGAAATTGTTGAAATGGTATAGGCTTTGTTATATATAATTCACCACAACAAAATGTGAAAGAATACAAAAACTACTCATGCCCAGGACTCAACCTCCAGAGATTCTGTTTAATTGGCCTGAGGTGTAGCCTGGGCATTGGGAGTTTAAAAGTTCCTCAGGTGATTGTCATGTGCAACCACAAGCCTGTGAACCATACATAAAGCCTTAAGGACCTTGACAAAGCATTTGGATTGATGACAATACAAGGTTTCTGAAGATACTCAGAGGTATTTCCCTAGTACCCCAGGCCCAGATCCAGAAAAACCAACCAAGATCTAAGAGGCTCTGGAGGTTGTCATGGAGCCAAGAACATGAAGCAATCCAAAGAAAAAGAGACAAAAGGGGACCAACTAGAAGGCCATGAGATGCCGAGAAACCCAGAAAATGTGACAAACTGGAAGAGACAAAAATAGACAAGTACAGATAGACCTGAGGGCTGTGGTGGTACAATCCTCACTCTCCATGCAGAGACTGGTTAAATCCCCAGCCAATGCTCCACTTGTCCATCAGCGGACCCTTGTATGTTGTTTCCAGATTAAGACAGATTAGAAAGAAGGGACTAGCGATCTAGCTCTGAAAATCAGGCAGTAAAACCCTGGTCATGTGGTGTGATCCTGTTTTGCATGCTCTCCACTCCCTCCACCCCTCTCTGAATCTGGGGCTTACTAGACAGCAGCCAAAAACAGCAATAGGCCCAGAGGGTCAGAGACATGGAGAAAGGGAAAAACATATGCGTTTGTTCTCTATTGCTGTCATAACAAATCACCACAAACTGAGTGCCTTCCACTCAGATTTATCATCTTGCAGTTCTGTAGTTCAGAAGTCTGAAATGGGTTTATTGGGCTAAGATCAAGGTGTTGGCAAGGCCATGCTCTTTCTGGATGCTCCAGTGGAGCATTCCATTCCTTTGCCTTTTGCAGCTTCTAGAGACCAACCACTTTCCTTGGCTCGTGGCCCTTTTCCTCCATCTTCAAAGCCAGCAACATTAGGCTGAATACTTCTCACACTCCATTTGGTTTTCCTCTTTGGCTTCCATTTCTACGTTTAAGGACCTTTGTGGTTACGTAGGGAGCTTTGGTGACATAGAGCCTAAGGCATCTGACTAACTAGAAGGCTGGTGGTTCAAACCCACCAGCCACTCCTCAGGAAGGAAGATTGGGCAATCTACTTCCATAGAGATACTGCCTTGGAAACCCAAGGAGGGGTCGTTATGAGTGGGAAACAACTGGAGGGCAGTGAGTTTGGTTTTGGTGGTCACATAAGGAGCTCTGGTGGTGTAGTGTTCAAGGTATTTGACTGCTAACCAGAAGGTTGGTGGTTCAAACCCACCAGCCACTCCATGGAAGGAAGACTGAGCAATCTACTTCCGTAAAGATTTACTGCCTCAGAAACCCAAAAGGGGTCACTATGAGTTGGAATCGACTCAATGGCACTGAGTTTGGGTTTTTATGGTTTTCTTTTTTTTATGGTTACATTGGGCCCACCTGATAATATCTCTCTACTTTAAGGCCAGTGGATTACAACCTTAATTCCATCTGAAATCTTAATTCTCCTTTTCATGTAAGGTAGCATTTCATCAATTTCAACAATTTAGATGTGGACATTTTTGGGTTTGGGGTGGGGGCATTATTCTACCTACATGGAAGTCCATCTGTTACAAAACTGATTTTGGTCTTATCTGTAGTCATTTTCTCAGGTGGCTGTGTGCTTTAGGAGCATGGAGTTGGTAGATGAGTTGCTCCAAGATGAGTGTACATATGCTTGGCTTGTTTGTGCAGGCTTGTTTATCAGGATGTCATATTTGAGTGTCTCCCTGATAAGTATGGGGGAGGGAGGGGGTGCCTAATAAAGCACTGCTGCATCAGAAAGGCTTATTACTGTTATTGTACTGTTGTTCTTATCAATAATAAAACTAATGACAGTGTCTCTTTGCATGTTTTCTTTGGCCATGTCCATGTGTCACTAAATAACACTGGGTGTCTACGCCAGTGATATTCAGTGTGTATGAGATTAGTCAGGTATATCTATGATGTTTGCATTATGTAAGTTTATCTGTCCGTAAGTTTGTGCACATTTGGGCATTTGGTGAGGCATATGCATATTTACATGCAACAACAGTGTTTGTTCTCATAGTTGTAGACACCTGGATGTTTACTTATTCACAAACCCCAAAGGCATCCAGACAGATAAATGGAAAGTTCTATTGTGAGAGAGGTGGAGGAGTTGGGGCAGGGGGAGAGGAGGAGGGAAGAAAAAGAAAGGCAGAGAGAAGGAAGTGAGGAAAGAAGGCTCAAGAAAAGATCAGAAAAGAAAGCAGGAGTTCCCAGAGATCTGGAGTGACAAACAAGTAGGGCATAAGTCTGAAGATTTGGGTTATGGTTCCACTTTTGGTATTCCCTTGCTGTTGGGCAATTCCAGCTCTCTGGACCAATAGATAACCTCTTGGGTCCATTCCAAAGAAGGAGGGAAAGAGAAAAACGAAAAAACACACAGAGAGGGAAAAATAAAGAGCCAGAAAAAGACATAGGCAGGTAGTAACATAGAGGCCCAGTGAGGCAATCAGAGGTAGAGCTGTGAACCTCAACCCTGGCTCCTAGAGGCTGGAGTGTAGGCACCTTCTTTGCCCACCCTGCCTGGCAAAGTGTCCTTAAGGTAAGGCAGAAAGATGGAGAGGAGAGAGGTGCTGGGAATGACAGCCACACAGCAGCACCCGGAGGCCTGCCAATGCCACACAAACCAGGATTCAGGCCGCCAGATGTAGGTGTGCCAGCCACCTGGAATGACTCACACCCTGGCCATGTGGGCACACATGCCAAGTGCCAGCGTGGGCACCCTGCCCAGCACACACAGGCTAAGGGGGATGTGAGATTCTGGCTTTTCAGGGGGCGATAAGGTGCTACCCTACCTACACCTTGCTCCCTTGCCCTCAGAGTGCCCTCTAGTGACCACCTTCTCGCCTCAAAACCTAGGTGTCCTGGCCTCCCCACCCCCTCTCCCAAACCTTCCTCGAGAAGCGGGAGAACCAGATGAGGTGTTACGCAAGGGCCTGATGTTTACCTCCCGCGGGGACCTCCTCCCTCCCTATAAAGCCTGATGAGGTGGGGAGATTCACGAACTCGGGGAGAAGAGCAAAGCAATCACAGGCGAGGGGCAGAAAAAGTGCAGAAAGTTAATGCGGGAGACGGAGAGAGGGGCATCGAGTCAGCCAGCAGCAGGGCCGAGCCATCATCTGCGCGCTCAAAGGTGGCCGCGGTGGTCGCGGAAGTGGTGGCGCCCAGACCCAGGCTCGCCATGGAGGCGCCTGAGCTGGGCCCAGGGCTGGTGGAGCGTCTGGAGCAGCTGGCAACGTGCCCGCTATGCGGGCGTCCCTTCGAGGACCCGGTGCTCCTGGCGTGTGAGCACAGCTTCTGCCGCGCGTGCCTGGCCCACTGCTGGGGGGCCCCGCCGGCGACAGGCACCGAGGAGACCCCCACCGCCTGCCCAAGCTGCGGCCGAACGTGTCCCCGCCGCAGCCTGAGGTCTAATGTGAGGCTGGCGGTAGAGGTGCGAATCAGCCGCGGGCTGTGCGAGAAGGTGGCGGAGCCAGGGGCCCGTGCCAGCAGACGCCGCGGGGGCCGCATCCCCACCATGGGCTGCCTGGATCTGCAGGGAGAGGTAAGGGGGGATGCGATTTGTGGGTCTGGTGCTGGGGCTGAAGAGGGGCGAATCCATGAATCCCTGGGGAAACCGGTCATGGCACCTCCAGATCCAGGGACCTTACAGAAGTTTAGGCAACAGATGGAGTTAGGGAGAGAAAAGCAAAGCATGGGGGTGTGGGAGTTGACCCTGCGTCCCCTAGTAGAGAGGATCCAGGATGGATGGTGGGGAGGAGTTGACACTTAACCCAGAGGGGACAGGTACCTGGGTCTTGTGAGAGGAAGTGGAGAGAGAGGGTTGGAGAGAAAGGCTTGGGGAGTAAGGAAGGGATCTAGGTGTCAAAGAATTTGAGGAGCTCCGTGGAGACCTTTGGAAAGCGTGGGAACTGAGGGAAGATGGCGAAGGTCCCTGCTGGACCCCCAGAAAGAGGACGGTGGGCAGAAGGGAGGGCACTGGCTGGCAGGAGGCAGGGAGCCAACTGGGGGCTAGGGCAAGCAGTAGGGAAGGCTTGGGAGAAGTGAAGTAGAGGGCAGAAATGAGAGGGCAGTTAAAGGGCAAGTGGGGGGTATAGTATCAACCACCCCAGTAGCCTCCTAGCTGGTCCCCAGGCTCAGTCCTTAGCCTGAGCTGTAAGTTGTTTATTACTGTCCTCAGTTCCTCCCAGGTCCCCAGGCAGGGGTGGTGGTAGGAGGAGGCAGATCCCAGAGAGCAGCCACAGGGCCCCTGGCTCCTCTCTGCATCCCAGCCCTAGCACCTACCCACCACCCTACCTGTACACACTTCCTGGGTCCTGGCTACAGCCATCAACCAACCTCATTCCCTTGTCTGACCCCCAGGCATCCAGATTTTGGACTGGCTTCTCCCCAGCAGCCCTAGCTTCCTCCCTTTGAAGCCTTCACAGATCTAATTAGTCTATGTGTAATTGGCTTAATTAGGCAAATTGTCTTCTCTCCCCATCTCCAGCAGACTGGCCTTCTCCTGCCACCCCTACCCGATATCAAAGTGTATATATGTGTGTGTAGGGGGGTGTCCTGTATTAGAACTATGTGTCTGAGTGGGGGCATTCCACACTCTCCTGGCTCCCATGATACCTTGCAGATCTGTTGGGCCTCTTGGGGCACATCCAAGCCCAGCTGCCTACCTAGTCAGGCAGATTGACACAAAGCAAAGAGCCAATAAATGCTACTGGGCTTTTATAGTAAGAGGGGAAGCAGCTTTATTATAAGGCTTTTATATATCAACTCTTTGGCCAGCTTGATCCAAGGGCTTTAAGTGTGTATTTAATGGGTGTGATGGGGGGAGGAGGACACCTGTCTGGGATAAACTCAGGAAGATGGCTTAAGATAAACAAAAACAAAAACCCACTGCCATGGAATTGATTCCTACTCATAGTGACCCTATAGGACAGAATAGAACTGGCCCATAGGGTTTCCCAGGCTGTAAATCTTTACAGAAGCAGACTGCCTCATCCTTTCCCCTTGGAATAGCCGGTGGGTTCAAAACACCCACTTTTGGGTGAGCAGCTAAATGCTTCAACCATTGTGTCACCAAAGGTCCTCTGGATAAAGACTGGAGTCACTAAAAGAGACAGGGAGGAAGCAGCAGGCAGTAGGAACTCTGAGGGCAAGAAACAGCTCAATGAGGGCTGGGAAAGGGGAACCAAGACCCCTTGGGGAATGGAGAGAGGAGAAGATGCCAGAGCAGATGGAGTTAGGAGGATGAAGAGAAAACAGTGAAGTGAGAAGATGGAAGAGTCATGACAGAGGAAGGAGGAGAGTAAGAGAAAGCGGTTTAGGGGATTAAGAGGTGATACCACTTGGAGAGGTGGAGAGGGGTATCACCAACTCATACCTGGGGAAGGGGGAGGAGGGACAAGGCTCCCACAATATGCAGCCCAGAGCTCATATCCACCTTTTCTTCTGCTCACCCTAGGATATGAGGAAGACATGGAGACGGTGAGTTCCTCTTTTATTGTTCCTTTCTTTACACTGCCTGTCATCATACCTATCACCTTCCCACTGGCCCCCCATGCATACACCTCTGCCCCCACTGTTTCTCTGGGTACGGCCTCACCCCTCCCTGTTTTAGAGATGTGAGTGGGATGGCAATGGGGCATCATAAGGTAGAGGAGTGTCTACTGACTTCCTGACCCTGTCACCTCATCTGTTCAGATTTGATGCCCCAAAGCCCAAGTCACCTAACCCAGAGGACGACCTCCCTGAAGATTACCCAGTGGTCAAAAACATGCTTCACAGACTGACTGGTAAGGAAGAAAGAAGAGCGTGACCTGAATGAGTCTGTTTTAGAGTTTTTACCCTTTTACCTCCCAAAGATATTCAAGTCCTTTTTTGATGTCTATCCCCAGTTCCTCATCTCCCAACCATTTTTTCCTCCTCCCTTTACATATATTCACAGAGCAGACCCCCGGAGGTCAGCTACCTCTCAGGCATCTGTTCCACCACTTCTCAGCACCCCTCTCTATAAGGGTCCCAGGATCCCTGCAGCTCCCTGCCTCTGGACTGTGCCTTCTCTGCAGCTTCTGGGGTGCCCAGAGTTCCTTCTTCACTCACTCCCAAGGCTCCCCCCTCCCCACCTCTTTAAACTGCTTACAGAAGATGCTTCACCCTCTTGGTTACCCACCATCTCACCCAATCCAGATTTCTTCTAGCACCCCTAATCCAGAAATCTTTCCTCAAAACACCCCATTGCATATAAATCAACAGTTACTCTGATCGCTGGCTGTCATCACCTTCTCTCTCCTCCTCTGCCTCACCCTCCCTATAGAAATATCTGTCCATCCCCACCTATTACTGTGGGTGGGTGGGCTGGTTTCTCAGGATACCTTGGATTCCTCTCCTTGCCCCTCCCCTCTGTCACTCGTGGTTCCAGTGTCAGGTATCAGTCTTTCTCTTTAGATCCACCTTTCACATCCTGCTGACCCAGCTCCCACACCACACCCCAGGTGCCTAGCTATTGGTCCTCATCCTTCTCTAGAAGTCACCATCAGCCTCCCTCTCCCTCTTCTTATCCCACAAACTAAGTACCCTCCCTTTTCATCTCTGAGCTGTGCTCCCTGTCCTGAGCCAGGAGGGCCAGTCCCCAGTCTATTTCTACAGAGGTCATAACCTTCGTATGCCTTTGTCCCCTGGTCCTGCAGCTACCTGCTGCCACCTGCAGCTGTTGGGGGCCTCCAGCACCTTTATCCTCTGCCAAGCATTATCAGCCCCACTCATGCAGTTCTCTCTCTCCCCTCCCCTCTCCAGCCGACCTGACCTTGGACCCAGGTACAGCGCACCGCCGCCTCCTCATCTCCTCCGACTGCCGTAGTGTGCGACTGGCCCCACCAGGGACGCCCGCACCCCCAGACAGCCCCGCCCGCTTCGACCAGCTCCCTGCTGTGCTGGGCGCACAGGGCTTCCGCGCCGGCCGCCACTGCTGGGAGATAGAGACCGCGGACACCGCTTCCAGCGGGGACTCTTCTGGGGAGGATGAGGACGACGGGGAGTGCCGCTACGCTGTGGGCGCGGCCGGGGAGTCAGTGCGACGCAAGGGCCGCGTAGGGCTGTGCCCCGCGGCAGCCGTGTGGGCTGTGGAAGGTCGCGGCGGCCGCTTGTGGGCCCTGACGGCCCCGGAGCCCACTCCACTGGGCGGCGCCGGTCCCCCGCCGCGGCGCATTCGCGTGGACTTGGACTGGGAGCGGGGCCGCGTGGCCTTCTACGACGGCCGCTCGCTCGACCTGCTCTTCGCTTTCCAGGCGCCTGGCCCCCTGGGGGAGCGTGTCTTCCCACTGCTCTGCACCCGAGATCCCCGCGCCCCACTCCGCATTGTGCCGGCCGAAGGCTGAGTGTCCCACCCACCCTACTGCTTATTACACCCTCGCAGCTCCTCTTGTGGCTGCTTCCCTTGGCCACGGAAATCCCGGCTCATCCAGGGATCGCGTTCACATGCCCTCTGGCAGAGCACTGAGGTTCCCTTCCTGCACCCCTCACATTGTCTCTTTTTCCCCTAAATAAGATCTCAACTGGTCTCCACGTTTCCACACTCATGCCCAATGCAGAATCCATTCCTGCTGCTCCCTCTTGCAACTCTTTTCTCCTCCACTGCTACCTCTGTCCTCTCCATCTGACCTCTCCACTTCTTACAAGATTCTGGGCCTGAACTAGAAAGCAGGCCCTGCCCCATCAGTATTGATAAAGACCCATGTTTACCACACAGATGCCCTGCTAGTCTGGTACTCACCTCCCACTCCTGCCTCTCCTAGCTCCATGGAAGAGCCATGCCTTCTCCATAGCTCTCAGGCTTGGGCTTCCCCGCCTTGTGCACATTGAAGCTTCTAAAAAATAGGAGGCCTGACTCTGGCCTGGACCTCCCAACCCTCTAGGACTTAGTTTTTTTTTCCCCCCTACTTCTTGGCCAGTTCTCCATCCACAACTGCTTCCTATGCTCACAGTCTTTTCCCATTAAGAACCTGCATAAGACTTCTCCCTGCACAACTCATACAATGGAACCAATGGTGCTACCTCTCTACCTAGGAATGGCCCAGATACCCCAAAACTCAAATTTGTATATAGGTGCACCTCTTTCCCCATGTGTACAAATGGGGCCATATTTAACACGTTTTGTGATGTTGGGTTATTTATTTTGTGCATTTGTGGCAATAAATGTGATCTCTGTGGTGGTATGGATTTGATAGATCTCTGCAACCGCGCATGTCAAGAGGCGTTGGAAATGCTAGTTACCCAGATCCCAATTAGGGGTGGGGAGGGCTGAGAGAACTGGACATCTGGGCTGGAAGAGACATTAAAGCCTAGGAAGGAAGGAGTAAGAGTGTAAGGGGCACATCCCAATCACCCTACTCCTTCCCTTTCCCTTAACTCCTCTAGGGATCAAGGCCCCTAGGACTGTGTTGGATCTGTCTCAGAAGCTGGAAGACCAAAGGCTGAGGAGATAGTTGACATTAACTGACCAGTCTCAAAGCCAGCTTTGTCAAGAATTCTAGACCACCTGAGAAGGATAGGGAGCGAGGACACCACTATTTCTTGTTCCATTTCCATTAAAGGTGAGAATGACAAAGGCCTCTCTCTCTCCTAACTCCTCCAGAGGGCAGAAGGGAGTGGGCAAAAGGGAAGGGGCAAGGCTGGGAGCCCTGAGGTCTCCCATGAGACCTCACATCCCACAGGACTAAGACTTAAGATTGTATAAATATATTGGTGGGAGAGCTCTAAGCCAGGATCAGTGAGCATAACTGGGGCAAGATTACCTGGAATCTGACTTGGGACCCTGGCAGTGAAAGCTGGGGCTGTTGGAAACCCAATTTAAGTGTTTGGGACTCAAGTAGAGAGTACAGGGGACCGACATAACTGGATCCCAGGACAGGCTGTTTGGCAGTGAGAACAAAGGAAAGGGACTGGGACCAAGATGCCTAGATCCCTAGAGGGGAGGAGAAGTATCAGGAAGAGAAATGAGGGCTGGGGGAACCCAGAAGCCTGGGTTCTGGAATAGCAGCAAGTCAGAATTCCAGGATCCCTATCCACCCTTCTCTCCTTCTTCCCTCTATTAAGCAGAGGAAAGGGAAGGAGGTAGACTAAAGAAGGGATCAAACCATGGGTTTAGTCCCCAAGTAGCCACTTGGATACATTCAGGGGCAGACAAACACAGGAATGGTGGGGGAGAGAGGAATTTAGTGTTGCATTGGACCTGGAGGAGGCTGGGAGGGGTCAGGAGGCTGGGGAGGGGTAGTGGGGGTCGGTCCCTGGGATGTACGACGCCGTCCTTTGCGATGGCCCCGGACACAGTGTGTATGACCACAGCCCTCCTCTTCCTCCTCATCGCTCTCCGTGGAGCTTTCGCCAAACGCTCGAGGTTTCTCATAAATACAGCAGCCTGGATTTGGAAGTGGAGGGAGGAGCCCAGTTAAAAAGGAAGAAGAGTAAGATAAAGAATCAGCTCCACTCCCATTGGATCTCAGTGAAAATGCCTTGTCAACCACTGCCGCCTCCTACCTTCCAGGAGCAGCTTCCCCAGGCCCACCCCTCTGGAACTCAGGCACCCAACCCTCATGTTTTGGGTTCTCTTTTTAGAGAGCCAGGGATCCAAAGCCCCATTTCTCCAACCTCTGCTTCCTTGCTTTTAGGCCTAAGCAAACTCCACTTCTAGCCCCCTCTACCTCTTTCCCTCTATTGTTAACCTCCTCTTTCTAATGCCAGAGAACCACCAAGACAGGAACAGAAGGTGGACATCTTGGGGCCTCAGGGTGGCCAGTGGATATACGGTTGATTTGCAGAGGGAAGCCAGGATTCCAGGGCCACTATGGGCCAATGATTACTCACATTTTGATGAGCGGCGCCCCATGTGTTCGTTATCCACAGTATCACTTGTCCATTCTACCTTTTTCTCTGGCTTCCGTTTCCGAAGTTTGATGGTTAAGCTCCGGTTCTCCTGGAATGTTAAGAGAGATGGGCATACCTATCTACTCCCTTCCTACTGACCATTCCCACTCCCTCCCAGGGGCCTTTTCTTGTCCCTTCCCCATCTCAATCAGCACCATAAACATAGGACTAGTGAAGCTGAATGCTGGGAAAAGATAAACTAGAACTAGCCTTGGTCTCAGGGATTCCCGAAGAATAGTGAAGCATTATTTCCTGTTCTTGATAGTCACTAGTGTAGAGTGAAGACACAATTCTTAACCTAAGAAAGGTTCAGCGTATCTTCAAAGAAAATATAATCCTCGCTCTATCTCTTATCTTCCTCTCAAATCCTTCGTGGTAGTATTAATATATGAAAACTATTTCCTCAGTCCCCAATGCCTAATCTTTGATCTCCTTTTCTTTATCTGGATCTTGATTCTTTTTTCCTTTTAAAGACCTCCATTCTAACTTCTCTTATCCTCAAGTTCAGCTCTTCTCACCTCCTATCCATCTATTCCTCACCATCCTGACATCTCTGGTAACTGCTATTCTAAATTTCCTTAATTCAGAGGTTATTAAGCCCAATGCAACCTTCCTCTGAAAGCAATTTAATCTATTTTTGCAAAAATGCTACTAATTTCTCCATCTCACATCTCTCCTTTCTAATTTCTCAAAATACAATTGTCACCTCCTTTCTCATTCTCTCCACACCACTTTACATACATCAATTCAACAAATATTTATTCCAGTTAAATTCTACAACCATGCTGACACAGCCCTTCACCCTACCCTGAAAAACCTCCCTTGCTCCTTACCCCCAATTTCTAATTACTTAGTTACACAATCTCAAGCAGCATCACCTATATCCTAACTCTAAGCCATTCCATGTCCCTTGACTAGCCTTGCACCATCCAATTATCTTCAATATCTTGTGATTCCCCAAACCCCAGATATTCAACCCCACTCTTCCCATATCCCCAAGCCCAGTCCCTGGAGTAACTCTCTAATGCCACATCCCCTCCCTCCCTCTCGGTATCTCCCAGACCCTTAAACAACACCAGCCCCCCGCCTTTCTCACAGGCTCGGTTGTCACAGTAACCGTTGTCTCAGTGACGGTCTCACTCAGCCCGGCCCCTGCCTCCGCCATGGCTAAGGCTGAGGAGAGGGTGGAGTGAAGGAAGCGGGATGAGACACCCTTCTCTTTTTCTCTGTTTCTGAGAGCTGAGAAAATTGGTTTCAGATTCAGAGTAGTAGCCAGGATCCTCCGCCTTCTTTTTTGCCCCTCCTCCTGGGCCTTCGCTTCCCCAGCCCTGAGGATAACCTGTTCAACCCCACTTCCGGCTTCCGGGTGTGACGACTTCTGTGGTACTCCTTTTTTTCTTAACCCCGCACCAAATGCGTCAGAACGCAAGTGTCGCCAGATTAGTTCCGCCTTCTTGCGCAGGCGTCGCCAGAACTAGCTAGTTGGCGGAAGGAGCGTCATTGCGGAATGGGGTGAGGAAGCGAGACTGGGCAGTGAGACTGCGCAGTATGCGCATGCGCACCAACTTTTAAGCAGCATGGTAGTCTAGAATAGAGTTGCAAACTACCTGATGTTGTAGACCTCCTTGGCGTGGCCGAACAGAGACATTAGGCTTGAAATGTTCTGTAGCTAAACTACCTAAATACTTAACCCAGGGGTGAAGATGGGGCGGAGAAAACAGTGTCAATAGTAATGACCCTACAACGGCCTATTCTCGTTTCCTGAGCATTACTTTTGGGAATTAGGGAAATAGAACTTTGGTGTAGTTGAAAACACACTTTGTGAAAAATCAAATTATCCCGGTTCTAACCTTCGTTCTGTACCTGTCGGTATGCAGACAAAGCACTTCATATACCTTCAGCTTGGTCTTTTTTCCAAACACTATGCTAAGCCCTGAAGATGGAAGAGCATTAAACATTCTAGTGGGAAAGGCAGACATGCAGATAATTAACAAACATAAGACACTGGTATTAAAATAGAAGTATACCTGATCTGTGAAACTGAATCAATTGCATACTGCCAACATACTCGCTGTTGTTGTTGTTTGCCATCGAGTCGGCCCAGACTCATAGCGACCCCTCCTTGGGTTTCCGAGGCAGTATCACTACAGAAGTAGGAATGCCCAACCTTCCTTCCGAGGAGTGGCTGGTGGGTTTGAACCGCCAGCCTTCTGGTTAGCAGTCAAGTGCCTTAGC